TCCGCATTACCTCCTCTCCTAGGTTCACGAAACGGTCGTCCATAAAATGCATTGCTGTTCTGTTGTAAGTGATCCAAATAAAGTGCTTTTGCTTTCGCACTTAAACACACAGCGTCTCCCTGACATGTTGCTTCAACACTAACTGCGGTTACTGACACCATGCCTTCTTTCTTTGCGTGCACATTTGCGGCGGGATTATGCAAATATTTCCACATAGTGGGGGTAGATATGTGGGGTGTGTTAGAACGAGCCGTTTTAGGGGGGCGTGGCAGAGTCTTAACTTTGATAAAGAATATCTCTTTGGTTTTGAGACTTTAGTCTTTGCAACTTCAGGGATCTTATCTATGCACAATCAGCTTGTAACACTCCAAAGAGAAAGGAAAACTTGAAATCGCATCATATGACCCCTTTAATATAATGCGCCCACTTGTATGGCTTTAGTTTCCGTCAACATTTCTTTACAGACTATATTGCGCTTAGAAAAGAGCATAGTCAACGTAGGTGCTGTGGCAGAGAGGGGGCACGTGATGTGACAGGTGGAACATGAGTTCTTAACTTAACATCTGCAGTAACAGCAGAAGTAGCGGCCGGCATATTGCTAACATAAATAAGAATGTAAGTGCCAAATGGATGTCCCAGTGGCCGGCCTGTTGACCTGGCTGCTTTAAAAAGCAGCGCACAGACGGGCACACGGCGATACAGACAGTTGGCTGACTGACCCTCCCACTCAGTGCCAAGGTCACCGCTCGTGAGTGGGGCTGGCCGCCCAGCAACAGCGAGGGCTATCCATACACCTCCTTACACTCGCACACTCACTCTTATGCCAAGCTGTGCAGTGCCAGTGTCCCTCCTGTCTCCCAGTCTCCATCTGTCCTCTAAGCTAGAGTTCCCATCTCACATACATGTACACATTCACCTACATTGAATTTACCAGAAATAATTCAATTCAATTAAATTCAATTCAAGTTTATTTGTATAGCGCTTTTCACGATACAAATCGTTACAAAGCAACTTTACAGCAAATTAAGTTTCTACAATATTTAGTGGTAGCTTATCAGTGGTGACTGTCAGTTAATGTACATGTGGCAGAAATGTACGGAAAAATCAATTAAAGACGTAATCAATTAAATACATAATCAAACAGACGATGAACACTATTAATTATTAGCGATTATTATATGATGCAATCAAACTTATAGCAAAATTTGGTCATTCTGTAATAACCCCATAAATAACCCCACTGAGCAACACCTTAATGAATAACATCAGCTTGAACGATTCTTCAAATGTAACCAGGCGAGTTCGGTACATGCTACTTTTTCCACCTTACCTGCATTAACATTAAAGTCTCAGAGGATGGAATGAATTACCTACCAACCGGCGACAAGATGGGGTTGACTTTCGCCTCAAATAATTACACTAATTAATCAATTAAGTGCTGAGATGCAGCAAAACTGCAAGTGGACCTAGCAACCCACACAGAGCCCTAAGGAACCCAACACTAGGGCTCCCTCACCAGCCAGTCAGATCCTGGCACTGAGGGGTAACCATGGGTACGTTGAGGGGAGGGGCAGGGTGTGGCGCTGAATGTCTCAGGTGGCACTGGAGAATGATGACAGCTGACAACTCACTGTATGACACCATCCCCCCATGCATGTCTCTCTCTCTTTCTCTCCCTCCTCCTCTTTTCTCACCAACTCTCCTGCATGCTGATCCTGTGCCAATAATAGCACGGGCACCTGTGTGGATAGCTCTACATTTATGAAAATCTCCCTATGAGGGCTTCATATGAGTGTGTGTGTTCCTCCTTGCACTCACTGTTCATTTTTAATTTAGCCTTTTACAGTGTCTCGCTCTTAGGATGTCAATTGTTTGTGTCCCTATTTTCCTGTATATTAAAGACAGGCTTCTATCTATCTATCTATCTATCTGTCTGTCTGTCTGTCTGTCTGTCTATCTGTCTGTCTATCTGTTTTTTCTTCCTGTCTATCTGTCCGTCTCTCTACCTGACCCTGTCTCTCCTCTGTCTGTTCGTCTGTCTGTCTATCTATATGTTTACCTATGTATCTGTCTATCTGTTTACCTGGGTCTTTTTTCCATCTGTTTCTCCATCTTTTTGTCCGTCCATCTGTCTGTCTGTCTGTCTGTCTGTCTGTCTATCTATCTATCTATCTATCTATCTATCTGTCTGTCTGTCTGTCTGTCTGTCTATCTATCTATCTATCTATCTATCTATCT